ATATATATATATATATATATATATATATATATATATATATATATATATATATATATATATATATATACTTTTTAAATATATCTTGTCCTCTGGTGGGAATAAAAAAATAAACAGCAAAGCTTTGACAACAGCACCTTGACATAGTATGTAATTCCAACATTACCTTGAGAAGTTTAGAACAGTAAACAGATAAATTACTGGAGAGGAAATTTTTTCTGCTGAATATGTAAACGGAATGTTTTTTTATTCTTTTTTTGGTCAGCATCTTATCATTTTTTTGTAAGTGGAGAATTTCTCAATTCACAATTGAAGCAGCATGCAAGCTTTTGACGATGGAACTGTCCTCTCTTTTTCCTTGCCTGTTTTTTTTCCTTCATTTTCTAATTCTTGGCAACATAAACAAATCACAATGTCTTGAGTAATGTGATATAGTAATTTAAACTGGGCGCAAATGACTGATCAGATTTTTTTTAATTGTTTACAAGGTCATGAATATGTTCAATAAATAGACTGTAGTATCACTTTTACTGTATAAACTTCATCTTTTTTTACATGCAGTCCATAAAATTTTCATTTGACGGAATAATTTACCCTGTTATGTATATATACAAATAGATATTTTCTCTTTATTCTCTTTTTTAAACTCTTCAATAAAATCTATACATTTTATACACTATCTCCCTCTTTTAATGGTCAATGTGCATACACATGAAGTGTCTATCCTTATAAACCGCCAGCCAATCTTCCTTTTGCTATCCATGGTGAGCGCTCGCACATAGGACTGGGTTGTCCTGCATTGGGAGTTATAATGCCGCTTGTCTATTCCTCTGCAGCCCTCCTTCGTGTACCCCATGGGGTTGCATTTGGTCTCATAAAAGTATTGCTTCAGTTGGCCATTGGGGACTGGGACCTTTTCCATGACGGTAACGGTCTGCCCGGACATTTCTATTGCCGTCTTTTTATCCACCGCCGTCACCCACTGGCTAATACTGTCACACACACTGAGCTCTCCGCGCCGCGAGGGATCGGAGTGTCGCCGCACCCTCATGGACATGTTAGCGGCATCCAGATAGTTTTTGTATTCCTCCAGAAGAAAGAGCAACGGCGGCTCCAAAGGCACTTGGTTGCTGATCATCACCCGCGAGTTGTACAGGTCGACATCCTTGGTGTCTGTGGCAACGACGGAGGACGGGCCCCCACCTCCCTGGCTCTTATCGGTCCCCTGTCCCAGCTGTGCTGCCTCTCCCTCCACCTCCAGAAGCTCCTCTATCACCTGCTCAAACGTGTCTGTGAGAGAGGGCAGCTCCCCGCGCTGGCCGCCCTGCGGAGTCCCGTGGCCTCGAGCGGCCGTTGCAGCGGCGCCCAAGTACCCTTCCGTCCGATGGCCCCGCATGCCCGGGGCATCTCTCAGGGGCGCAGCTCTCATGCAACTGAAGTATGAAATAACCATAGTAAGGAACAGGATGGTCATCACTCTTCTAACCTGGTGGAACTGCATGGGGGGAGAGAAAGAGAGAAAAGAAGAGGAGGGGGGGGGGGGAAAAGAGTAGGACAGTTAGTCAAAAAGCTTTAAAAAAAAAAAAAAAAAAAAAAAAAAAACTAAATCAGGTTATTCTTGATCCATAACGCATCATGTAAACCTCCCATCTTATTTACACCCACCACTCTTTGTTTGCACGCCAAAAAAGAGGAGCCTGTAGCTTTGGAATACCCACAGCATGTTTTTATCAAACTAACGTTGGCACTGCCTTACCAGTGTTTTCAAACTGTTTGCAAACTGTAATCTATGTGAGGTCTGGCTTAGATTTCTATTTGTTGGCAGCAAAGCACAAAAGCTGTGCTGAGCATCAGAGAGACTGCTTAATACTAAAGATAAGATTACACAAATAGACACCGAAACATCCTCGCTGACCTTCCACAGAGTGCAGGCACATCATGTGTGTTTTTTCTAAAAGAGAAATTTGGGGATTTTGGTGTTCTCTGGCTTCACCGAAAAGTTGCGTTAAGTCTTTTTTCCCCTTCTTTAATAGTAAAAAACCGACATCTGGACGCATTCAAGGCCCAAATCACGTGAGGCTTAACTGTGAACCCGCTGACCAATAAGCTCATTTCCTCTGAGAACCTCGCACACGACATCACCGACGTCAGCACCTGCAAAAACCCATACAGCATCTCCTGGAGCAGCAGATGTGGTGCTCGTGTCAGCTCTGGCCAGCACTGGCTGTGCAGGGTTATTTATTTAAACAACCGACTGGTTCTGTGCTGCGAGACAGGTCTGACACTAAAGCTTGCGGTCGTGAACATGAACCTGGGGTTTGTCTGTGAGGGAACACTGTTTGTATTTGGCAGGTGGACGGCGAGAGCACTGCAGGATGAATTAACGTGATGTCACGAGGAGGCTGTATGACAGAGAGATGTGTCACCCCGCCTGCAC